GAATGAAGTCCTTGCCAACTTCAATCTTTTCTCCACTGATAAGAATGTTGTTTATTGGTCCAGTGGTGAGGATTTTTGTTTTTCTGACATTAAGATGCAACCCATACTGAAGGCTGTGTTCTTTGATCTTCATCAGTAAATGTTTCAAGTCCTCTTCAAGGTTGTATCATCTGCATATCGCAGGTTGTTAATGAGACGATTACCCTAAAATTTCTTTCTGATGCGGATTTAAAATTTCCTACAGATCAAATTGCAGAGTGTTGTTTTTAAACCCTGGACCCAGTACTAATTATTATTTCATTCTCCTGTTCATCTTCCACCTCTAAGAAAATCAGCTCCTTCTATGCATTGCTACATATTAATCTCACCGGATGTTTAGTGGTGGGTAGATAGGTATATAGAGAAATACAGTCACCAAGTAAAACTATGTTGATGCATATAAGATGCATCTTAAGCTCAAAAGAGAAATATTACAGCTCCTCTGCCATGTCTTTTGCTTCCATATGACACTTGGCCTGTTCTTTGAAAGCACAAGCTTTATATTTTAAGTGAATACTCAGTATTTTTTTGTGTAGAATCCCCAGTATGACCATCTTCTCCAATGTCTTACCTTTCTCCCCAAAACCTCCAAGCACAGAAAATGAATATTTATTAATATAGTCCTTGGGATTGATGCCTCTTTCTAGTTTCCCCTTATCAGTATTTCAGTACAGTTCCATCCTATAGCATTTCCTCATCTTAATATTTCTCCAGCTTTCAACCCATTCCATCCTGACATGTCTTCTCTCCAGTCCCCCTTAGAAGGATAATTTCTTCTCATTGCAATTATACTGTCCCTGTATTTTACCCTCTCTCATTCCTAAAAGTGTCTCTGGACTTGGTTTCTCCATAGTCACTTCTTGGCTGTCAATTTATTGAAATTATTAATTTAAATGGGGAAATGAAGAAAGATACAACAGTGGTGGGTAAGACCAGATTGGAAATAGAACAATGAAGATAAAATAGGAAGATACAGAGTGCAACAGGATAAGATGGTAAGAGAAAAGGGTGAAAAGAATGATAGAAATGAGGGAAGGTGCAAGATGAAAGAATGGGAGACTACAATGGCTATGAGAATTATGGATATCAAACTTCGGATTGCCCATTTGGTCAAAGACGAGTGTGGAGAAAGTGAAAGATGAGTATGAAAATGAGACAAAAATCATACTTTGAAATTCCTTCCCATCAGAATGTGACCATAAAATCACCAGCATCTCCACTGTTGTTATTGTTGGGTCCAACCCTCCTAATATAGAAATAATAGTCTTGATTTTGCTGAGTGTGTCATTTCTCCTTCTGACTAGGAGATCATTCTAGAAAGACAGAGAGTAGGGCTGACAGACAGGAGAGAGAAGGGAAGACTGTGAATCTGAAGGATCATCCTTCCACAACCCATAACATTTTTAAATCCAAAGAAAATACCAAATGTTTTATGGATGAATAGCTTTTTAGTAAAAATATAAAAACATATGAAAATGATCAGCAAAAAAAATCATGATAGTAGTTACTTTTGGAGAGAGAGAAAATGGGATGGAATTACAAGTTTAAAAGTGTCTCAGCTGTAAGTGTAATTTTTTAGTTAAATACACACACGTGTGATGCATCATGGATTGAATTGTATCCCCATAAAGTATGTGTCAGTTAGGCTGCATCATGATTCTCAGTGGTTTGGCAATTATGTAATGATCCCTCATGATGTGATTTGGTATGATCCACCTTAAACTTATTTAAGGGAATTAGAGTGAGATATATTTATGTGTTGGATTTCAAAGTATGTTTGAACCACGTGGTGGCCATTCAAGCTCACCAGCTGCTCCTTGGAAACCTTATACAGGTTCGCTAGGGGTTGGAACTGACTCGATAGCACTTAACAAAAACATAACAATATAATATAGGTCACAGCCCTGATATGATGTAAAAGGAGTTTCCCTGGGTTGAGGTTCCCACCATCTGTTTATCTTACAAGAGATTAAAGGAAGAAGCAAATAACTCACAGGGACTATATGTATGAATATGCATTTTCTGCACTTGGAGGTTTAGGGGAGAAAGGTAAGACAAGAAAGAGATGGACCTACTACCACCAAGAAAGCAGAGCTGGGAATGGAGCAAGTCCTTATGACCCAGAGTCCCTGTGCTGGGAAGTGTCTAGACTTCTACACTCAGGGGATGGCCAAGACACATGGAGATCTCCAAGTAAAGCTAGATCCACAGTTGTTGAAAGCAGATGAGGACCTTCCCACAGAGTCCACATAGAAGGAAAGCTTTCCCAAAGAGCTGGTGCCCTGACTGCAGACTCCTAGGCTCCTAAACTATGAGAGAATAAATTTCTTTTGTTAAAACCATTCACTTATGTGGTATTTCTGTTTTTGTTGTTGTTGTTACTGTTGTTAGGTGTCATTGAGTCAGTACTGACTCATAGTGACCCTATGCACAACAGAACAAAACAGTGTGCAATCCCAGGCCAACCTCACAATCCCTGAGCCCATTGCTGCTGACTCTGTGCTAATAATACTCCTTCCTCTTTTTCTCAGACCCTCCGTTTTACCAAACACCATATACTTCTTCAGAGACTGGCCCCACATGATGATATGTCCAATGTATTAGAGACAAAGGCTCCCCATCCTGGCTTCCAAGTAGTGGCTGGTGAGTTTAAATAGCCAATTTTGTGGTTCAAACCAACATTGTGGTCTGGTGCTTTATCCCACAGTAGCACACCAATAGTCCAATGTTATAATAGCACTAGATGATAAAGACACTTTTGTTACTTCCTAAGATTTACTAAAATTGTGTTGTGGACACACAAATGAATGTTCCCTCTTTTATTCTCAGGGTGAGTCTGTGTATTTGTAATAGTCACAATTTTAAAGTCACAAGACCTATCACCGGTCTACTTACCTAAAGCATGTTTCTACATACTAGTATTTGACTGTATGTATCCTCTACATTTTATGTGTCCACTCCTCAATGATGAACAGCTCTTTTCCTGCTGCCACCAATAATGCTGTGATGACTAGCCTGGTCCATGTTTCTTTATGAACCTTGAGAAATTTTCTCTGAGATACATGCTCATGAGTGGGATTTCTGGATAATAGGCAATATTGATGTAGAGATAGATGATAGATAGGTAACAGATCAATCAAAAAAATAACAAGCCCACTGTCAGTCAATCAATTAAACTCATAGTGACCATATATAGACTTTCCAAGTCTCTAAGTCTTTATGGGAGAGACTTCTGGAAAGATGGAGTAATAAGTAGACAAGCTACACATACCCTATACAACAAAGATGGTGGTGGTGGTGTGCTGTGGAGTCGGTTCTGACTCATAGAGACCCTGTACAGGGTTTCTGAGGCTGTAAATCATTACAGGAGCAGAAAGCCTCATCTTTCTCCTGTAGAACAGCTGGTAGTTACAACAAAGATAAGTGAGACCAAATGATGCAGAAACAGATGATAATCCTGAAACCCTAAGTACCAGAGGAAAGGAGAGAGACATGGATTGAATACTGACTAGGAGAAAAAACTGAGGGGACAGACAGGTGAACTGTTGGCTAGTCTGAAACAGCATGACCATTTTGAACTTTTGCAAGCAGCATTTAACCTGATAACAGACACACTCTTGACAATGGCTGGTGAAGAGGAATGTGCAATTCTCCCTTGTTCCTCACATCCTCCTGGTGACTAGAAGAATGGACAGCCTCACCCATTCCCTGTACAATCCCAACTCTGTCAGATTTCAAAGCTTTGCCATTGTGAGTTCCTGGATGAGCAGGAACTCCCATAATCAGCCACCCGGCTCCTAATGGTCCTCTGAGTCTTGAAGAGATCCCTCTTGGAACAAAGCCCCTGAACTCAACCACGACTAGAGTCTGTAAGTACTAATTCTAGATTAGGTGCCTTGATTGTAGAAAACATCTAAG